AAAGGGACTAGGGAGTTAATCAAGGCTTTAGCAAAAATTAAATTTTGGTTGTTTACTTGTTAAAAGTCTTTTACTGCTACACTAACTTTCTCTTCATTAATAATAGTACGTTATGTTGCAATTTGCATTTTTATTGGAACATTATCGCGAAAATGGTTCATTATTTTTTTTGGAATTTTAATGTCCTAAAAGTGATACAAATTACAACATAATATACTTTTTTGACGAGTAATGTCCCAAAAATAATACAGATTGCAACATAACATACTATTACTGATGAAAGAAAAGTTTGTGTACCAAAAAAGAACTTTAGACAAGTAAACGGACGAAAATTGAAAATTTCCTCAGGTTTCATATTTGTAGTAGTTTTTTTACCCTCCAATTTTTTTTTGTCACCTTTTTTTATAGGCGGACCTTTTCGAAATTTGTAATTTTTTTTTGATCGTTAAATAAATTTGTATTGATCAAACTGGAAGTCATACAACCGAGACGGCTATCAAGTCGAAACGGGTAGCTACATGTCGGCTCCTCACTCGAAAATACCAAAACCGAGGGCTTACCCACAAACCGGGAGCTCACTCGAAGTAGAATCCCAATAAAATCCAACAAAATGGCGGCACTAGTGAGAATTTCTGGGTAGCGCCGCTAGGCAGCACTAGCGGCGCTAGTGGCGACGTGGCGCTAAGTTGAGTGACAGGCCCTAGCGGCGCTAGCTTGCAGGTAGCGGCGCTAGGTCGATGCTAGCGCCGCTAGCAAGGTAGCGCTGGAGGGCACCTTTCCTCTGTTGGGTCCGAAGCGGCGCTAATGGCACGGAAGCGGCGCTAGGGGTCACCGTAGCGGCGCTAAGCCCCCTTACCGCCGCTAAGCCTGGGTAGCAGAAATTTTTTTTGCAGCAATCCTTTGTTTTTGCTCTTATATACTTAGCTCCCAGTGATTGATCTATGCTTAAAGTATGATATAAAGGAATCCCTGCTTAGATGATCTTCTTTTCCAAGTGCATAAGCACTTATTCTCAATCAATCCAAACACATCACATTTTACACATCAAGACCAAGGCATCGACTTTCAAATTCGGCAAGCACTCTCGGGTAGGCGGCAAATATAGTACGATAGACATGAGTTTTTACCTTGCGAATCAGGAGGCTTGGAGGTTGGATTTCGCCTTCAAAGATCGAGCGATTCCGGGCATTCCATATAAAGTATAAGGTAGCCGCTAGCGCCGCTTTTTTAAATTTGGCTCTCCATGTCGTACCTTTTCCCTCTTTTTTGGTCCACTTTAGGCTCCTTTGAGTGTAGTTGGCGTGTGACGGAGGCTAATCCATACACGAATGGCACCCCAAATCCCCGAGCTAAACGAGCACTCGAAGAAGAGATGACTCGAGGTTTCAATGGCGGTACCGCAAAGGGGGCACGTCGGATCCTCATTAAGGAACTCAAGTCGATCCTTAGTTTGGAGCCTATTCATCACTCCGAGCCATAAGATAAATGAGTGCTTGGGGGTATTGCAACTCCCCCAAACAACCCCGGTCCATGGCTTGATGCTTCCCTTAGGTTGGAGGAAGTCATAGCATTTGCTCGTGCCATCTTGTTTATCTTGAAGACTCCACAACCGAAGGAGGCCTTCCGCACCTCTCACACTACCTGCTTTTTCAATCAAGTTAAGCCGGATGTCAAAGAGGGATTTAAAGAGGGGAGAGTCATTTTTGAAAATTTGCCACTCCCAAATAGATTTCTCCTTTAAGAATATGCAATTTTATACACTACTTGTAACGTGGCTGACATGACAATTTTCCGGTGACATGACTGCTGATGTGGCGGTAAAATATTTTAATAAAGCTAGGGTTCGAGCTTGAGACAACTGGGTTGCATTGTCACTACCACACTAATTCTAGTTTTATATTAAATTTAATAGCACTTAATATATATGAACACTAACTATGAATAAATACAATTAAGTTTTAAAGATGATGTAGATTATATTAATAAGATATAAACTTAAAATAATTAAAATATAATAAAATAAATTACATAATAGAAAATGAAAGAAAAATTAAAATAAAGTAATATATATTTTTATTAAAACACAGTGCATCTAATTAAATTAAATTTGAATAAAAAATTCATATTTATTATTTATTGAAAGAATGCAATCTCTAGACTGGTCACAGCTCAAGGTACAACCTTAACTTCTCAGGCTGATATTAAATCACACATAGCATAATTTTACTCAGAGTTGTACCACTCAGAAGGAAGTTGGGATGGAGATTCTATCATACACCTTATTCCTAGAACAATAACAGAGGACATGAATGAAGATCTTTTGAAGCCAGTCACTGAGGCTGAAGTGAAAGCTGCTCTATTCTCCCTCCACCCTGAAAAATCCCCAGGGGAAGATGGAATGAATGCATTGTTCTACCAACAATTTTGGAATCTGATCAAGGAAGATATTATGGAATCCATGCTGAGCTTCTTTCAATCAGGCTTACTTTTGAGGTATTGGAACCACACCATACTGTCTTTAATTCCAAAGGTACCACTGCCTGAGACCTTGAACCAGTTCAGGCCTATAAGCCTCTGTTGTGTTATCTACAAGACCCTGTCTAAAGTACTGGCTCAGAGGCTAATGAAATGTCTTACCAGCTGCATCAGCAACCACCAATCAGCTTTTGTGAAGGACAGACAGCTTATGGACAACATCATCATAGCACAGGAGGCTTTTCACTACCTAAACAGACACTCCACAGGTCCAAACTATTTCATGGCCTTAAAGCTGGACCTTATGAAAGCCTTTGACAGAGTCGAGTGGCAATGCTTACAGAGAATAATGATTCAAATGGGTTTCCATCCAGATTTTGTCAAGTTGCTAATGATTTGTGTCTCTACCTCAACAGTCTCCTTCAAAGTGAATGGCAAAGTTAGTGGCTATATCAAACCCTCAAGAGGTATCAAGCAAAGGGACCCTTTGTCCCCTTACCTTTTCATAATTGTAGCAGAACTTCTGTCAGCTATGATCACTAACTCTGAACAGCAAGGTGCTATCCAAGAACTCAAACTCTCTAGAAATAGCCCTGTTCTATCCCATCTGCTTTTTGCAGATGATTCTCTTTTGTTCTGCAAAGCTGGGGCTGATCAAGCTGGTCATCTTTTATCTCTTATGGAGAAATACAGGTTGTTTTCTGGACAGAGGGTCAATATGCAAAAATCCAGTATCTTCGTTAGCAGGAACACTTCAGAAGCATTAAGAGACATAATCTGCAATGTTCTCAATGGGATAGTCCCTCATAGGTCCACAAGGTACCTTGGGCTTCCTTTGGGAATTGGACGGTCTAAGAAGGAGGTCTTTGATTACATCTTGGACTCTATAAGATCAAAACTGCAGAACTGGAAGAACAAGCTTTTGTCTCATGCGGGTAAGGAAGTTTTGCTGAAATCAGTGATTCAAGCTCTTCCTATTTTCTCTATGACTTGCATCAAGCTTCCAGTTTCCATCTGTAAAGAAATTTCAAGGCTTTGTGCAACATTTTGGTGGAAATATGGAGATAAAAAAGACTCTGGTATTCATTGGAAGAGCTGGGAAAAAGTCACAATTCCTAAGCTGAAGGGAGGACTTGGTTTTCTAGACATTAGTCTCTTCAATCAAGCTCTAATCTGTAAACAACTATGGAGGATTGCTACAAACCCTGATCTTTTGGTGAGTCAAATCTTGAAAGATAGATACTTCCCTGACTGCTCCATTTATAAGGCAGAGAAAACTCAAAAGGGGTCATGGTTATGGAATAGTTGGCTATCTGTGATGCCTCTCTTTGCCAAATGCATCAAGATTGAAATCAGAGATGGCTCCTCAACCAAAATTGATGACATTAATTGGGTTCCAACTCTGAAGAAGCCCCACCTTTCTCTGATTGACATAGCAAGAGGGCATTTAGTTTGGGTTAAAGACCTTTTACAGAGTGATGGGAGGAAATGCAATGACTGGTTGGTTGAGCAAGTTTTTGATCCTGAAGATTGTAATGCCATTCTCAAGTGAGGTACTCTCAACCCTGATAGACCTGATAGGTGGCTTTGGAGCATTGATCCAAAAGGCCTGTTCACAGTGGCTAGTACCTATAAAATGCTGGCTGCTCAGAAGGTATCAAATTAGACTTTCCAGAATCAAGTGTGAGAAGCAACCAACATCACCATTT